TATTTGATATGGAATAAAGTATTTTAAACATCAATTATTTAAATATTCATTATTTAATTTCTATTTGATTTTGGTGAGTATTAAATTTCTTCTTTATTTTGTTATTTTAAGGAGAGTATATAATTACTACTATATTGCTTTGGGCTAATATTCTTTTTAGTATCAACCACTAAACCCTTTTTCTTTGATAATCTTATATTATCAAATATATTTGTATCATATAAGTAATAATAACATCTTTATAAATACCCATTCTTTTATTATCAATGATATCACATCATTGTAATAATAAACACTGTTATTCTTGTAGTATTGATTATGATGTTTTTCTAACCAAACGCAACGTCATAACCAGTCCATAACTGGGGGAATCAAAGGATGGAAATATTTAGTGGAGTGTGTGTTGTCTCTGAAGTGCTACCTTCGAATCAATAATGAATAAAATATAAAATAAAATGAAATATTTAATAATTATAATTTATTAAAAATAAAAATAAATAACATTTTATTTTATTTCTTATTATTTATTGTTTTTCATAACAAATATCAATTAATAAAAATAGAATGATGATAAAATAATAAAAAAGAAGAAATTAAAATATAAAAATAAAAGAACTAATAAAACAACTAATAAATAATAAATCAATAATGAAATTAGGACATAATGAAATAATGATAACATCAATGTATTTTAATGATATTAATGATTTTATTAATTTAGAAATAGGAATTAAAAGATTTCAAGGAAATATGGAACGATTTCATTTTAATCCAATTCCATTAAATCAATATTCAAGAAGATTATTTACTGATATTGAAACATTTCATATTTATAATGAAGAAGATGAAATATTTGATGATGGAAAAATATTTAAATATGTAATATGGTATTTAGTAGATTATTCAACATATTTACAAGGAAAAGAAGAAGGAAATATCTGTAAAAATATAATATATACAGAAGAAGATAGAAAATCATATGGGAATACAATACCATCAGAAGTTAAATCACTTGGATATTTTTGTTTTAGATATTGTTATGAATTAACATCAATTGATATACCAACATCAATTAATGAAATAAGAAATGAATGTTTTTATGAATGTACATCATTAAAATCAATTAATATACCATCATCAATTAGTAAATTAGGATATGATTGTTTTTATGGATGTACATCATTAATATCAATTAATATAGATAATCTACAATATATCAGTGAAGAAAGAATATTTATGAATGAACCAGTGTTAGTTAGTATTAAAATACCAGAAAATCTACAAATAATCAATGGAAAGAATATTGAAAAGAAAGATATTAATAAATTTATTATTCCATCTTCAATTACTAAATTAGGATATAAATGTTTTTATAAATGTTCATCATTAACATCAATTAATATATCATCATCAGTTAGTAAATTAGGAGATCATTGTTTTCAAGAATGTTCATCATTAACATCTATTAATATACCATCAAGTGTTAGTAAATTAGGAGAAGATTGTTTTTATGAATGTTATTTATTAAAATCAATTAATATACCAACGTCAATTAGTAAAATAGGAAATTGGTGTTTTAAATATTGTTCATCATTAAAATCAATTAATATACCATCATCAATTATATCATTTGGACGTGGATGTTTTTATAAATGTGGATGTGAAGATGAATTAATGAAAAATAAAAGAATACCAAGAGAATGTTTTGATAGAGGGTGGTGAATGAAATAAAAATACAATAAATGAAATACAATATAAATTGAAGTAGAAACAAATTATAATTGATTATCATTTATATTATTATTATTCTTTTCTTATTTATTCTTTTTGATATTATTCTTTTTTACTGTGTTAAAATATTTATTATTATTTATTGTATATGTTTATTATTTCTTATATCTTCTATTTTATCTTATTTATTTATTATCTTTTATATCTTTCTTATTATTTTATTATTGTTTATTATTCTTATATTCTATATTTTAACTTATGATTTTCTATTATTAAATATAAATTAAATGAATTTGATATTATAGATAAATAAATATCAATTTTATTAATCTATTTGTATTTATATAATATAAATATCAATAAAATTAAATTATAAGTTAAATTAAATGAAATATGAATATGAATAATATTAATATGAAATGAAATAATTAAATAATAAGAATATATTTAAAATATAAATATCAAATACATGAATAAAATAAATAATATAAATAATAAAATATAAATCAAAATAAATAAATTAAAGAAAATAAGAATAAAATAAGAAAAATGAAAATATATAAAAATGAATACAAAGAATAGATGAATATAAAATAACAGAATGAAATGATTGAATTAATGAATATTGTTTTAAAGATATTCATCATTATAAATAAATTATTAAATAATGAAATATGAAAAGAATGAAATAATGAATATTCAATATTGAAATCAAATAATATATCATATCAATCAAATGAATAGAAAATGAATAATTTAATTGATATTTCATTAACATGTATGAATATCAAATATATCAAAATTGATAATAAAAATAAAATAAATATGAATAAACAAATAATATCAATGTTAAAATATCATAAATAACAATGCAAACAATAGAAAGAAGGAAAAGAGATAATAATGATAATATTGAATCATCAATTACAATAAAATGAATATAATATTTTAATAGATGTTGTTTAATATAATCAATTAATATACCATTATCAATTAATAAAATAAGAGATATTTCATTGAATGTACAATATTAACAAATATTAATATCATAACAACAATTAGTAAAATACTAATAATACTAATTAAAATATAAATGAGATGATTTAATTGATGTATATCATTAATATCAAATGATATACAAACAATAATAAGAAATATTTGAAATGTTTTGATCAATATTCAAAAGAAAGAAAAAAGAATAAAATGATAAGAATAAATAATAAAAATTCATTAATTTTAACATTAATAAAATCATAAAACAATAATCAACAACAAATTATATGATAAATAGAAATAAATGAAATAATAAATAATATAAATAAATATGAATAAGAAATAATAATAAATGAATAACATAAAATAATTTTAAAATTAAAAATGAATATAAATATAAAATCAAAGATAATAAAATAAATAAAAAGTAAAAATGAATAAATAAATTTATTATATAATTAATTATAAAACAACAATCAATAACAAACTAATACATAAATAACAATAAATTGATAACAAATAAATTATATTTGAAATATGAATGATGTTTGATTTAAATTAAGAATAAAAACATGAAAATATACCAAATGTAATGTTAATAAAAATGAAAATAAAAATGATATGAAAATAAGAAGAAAATAAAATAAAAGAAAGATGAATTGATTCTCATTTAGTTTTAGAATAAAAAAATAATGAAATAACACTTTTCTATTATTTCATTCTATTTACAATAAATGTTGATAATAACTCTAAGGTATTACCGTGAATACACCAAATGAAATAACAAATAATCAGAATGTACAGTTAAAACAATAAATAGAGAGTATCAATTTAATATTCATGAATTTGAAAAGAGTATATTCGATTAAGGTGTCCACATGCACAATTCACAGAAGCAAAGTCATCAGAATCTGATTACGCATTAACACAAGGAAGATTATCTTTACAACCACTATCAAAAAATTATTTAAATAAACCAATTTATATTACATGGGAAAATGGTCAAAGTGATAATGTTAATTATTCAATCCTTAGATATGGTTCAAGATATAAAGTGAACAAAGAACAGATAGAAAACATTAATAAGCATCATTTAATGGAAGAAGAATTTTTAAAATCAATTAATAGAACCACAGAATATATTGAAAATGAAGAATTAAAAAACGAATATGGGTCATTAGTTGAACCCATATATTGTAGAGTTTCAGACAAAAAAGTGAACACTTTTATATTGAAAAGTTTTATAAGTTTTCATACACTTAGTCCTTATTATAAAACAATTTTAAATTGTATCGAATTATTTGACTCAAATGAATATCCAATTCAAGTCATACTTCCAGAAAATGAAGGAGGAGATGAAGGGTCTGAACAATGGATAGAAAAGATATTTGCACCACATAATGATGTAAGAACAATAGTTTCAGCAAGGACTTCAACATGTACACAAGAAATGTTACAAAAAGGGATCGATGGAGATTTATTAAATGACCCTAAAACATGCAATAAAAGGGGAAAATTGTATGATCAAAAAGAACTTCAAAAATGTGCAGGAGTGAATCCAGAAGGCTTTTTTAATAAAATTGTATGGGTTGGTAAAAAGATATATTGCGTTATTAAATTAAACAGATGGTATACAAAACCAAAAACAATAAAATATGGAAATGTTAAACATAAAATTACACAACCATCAATTATGAAATGGGAAACAAAGAAATTAATGAATAAACCAAGAAAACCAACAGAAATAGTAGTTTATACAGATTCATTTTGTTATTCTGCTTGTTCAGTATTTACAAAAGGATTAAAAGAATGGGGAAGTGCTATTCTTGTAGGATTCAATGGTGATCCTAATGGTAAAGATGAAGAATTTGAAGTGGGATTATCACCATCAGCAGTGAAAAGTGGATATGATTTATGTAGCTCTAAATATAAAATCTCTGAATATGGATACTCACTTCTTTTAAGTTTCTTAGAATCTTTTAGATATAATTATGCGTATAAAGAAAAAATACCAAGAGAATTTCTAACGGATGTGATAGATGAAAGAGTGAATATATTCAATATTCAAGTAATAACTTGGAAGAATTTGAAGAAGAAACATTGAAAATAGTTGATAAGTATAAAACAAAATGTAATCCAAATAATAAAAGATTAGTTAAAAGAGATGAAAAATGTGATAAAGAAATTAATATAGAACATGGACATTGATGATATGAATGTGGAGATAATGGAGAATGGTGTACTAAATGTGTACTATCATATTGTGATTTAGGATATAAATTTGATTATAATAATAATAAATGTATTGAATATGTATGTGTTAATCCACCATAGATAATGGAACAATAAACATGACAATAAACCTATTTTTGATACTAATAGGAGTAATAGTGTTACTTTAACTCTCTAATTGAAGAGTTTTAACTTAAAATTACATTTGATAGTTATTTTTATTAAAATAAAATAAAATAAATCTTGTATAATGAGAGAGTCTCATTAATATATGAATAAAAGTAATAACACTTGAAAATAGTAAACTTTTGATTTCATTTTGGTTATCCATAGGAAAAAATGCCAACAATCTCATTTTTATTAAAATTCATACAGAAATATTGGGTAATACATATTTTATTTTGATGAAGTAATATATAAATTAATTTGACAATATTGTCATGACCTTAATGATATTTCTTTTTTGATACATACAAATACGTTAATTAATTTGATGTTCTTTCTTTAATTCTTATTTCTATGAATGTACTTACATTTTAGTTTTAGAATAAATGATATTACTGAATGGTTTGTTTAACATAACTACATTCATATTGTAGATGATAACACATTAAAATGAAATAAATTAATCAATAATAAATATTTTAATATAGAAATTGTATTAATTTATATAATACTCTTGTTTATTTGAATAAATTGAGAGTTTTCATTAACTGTTTAGAATATAATGCACAAACAAATTCATATAAACAAAAATGATTAAATATTCAAAATAAAAAACATAAAAGTATTGGATTCCTATTGCATTGGTATTGTTTTAGTTTTCGTATATTTAAAGAAATTGTTTCATTGTTTAACTTCTTATCATCAAATGAAAATGGTGTAAAAATAATAGGATAATAAAGAATGAAATTATGATATCATATAATTAAAATATAAAATATTCAATTGATGAATACTGTATAAGTCATCTATTATCAATACAAGTCAATGTAAATTCAATAAAAAATAATTGTTTTTGTATTTAGTCATTATTTTTGTTGTTATGAAAAAATAAAAGTTGAACATAAATAATTGTATTTAGTTGTTTCTTCAATAACTCTAGTAAAAAATAAAAGAGGATATGCAATATTGATAATCCCCTCTTAAAGTTCATTTCATTAAGTTTAATTTGTCTAGTTATAACATGTAAATAAATTTATGTTATGATATTTAAAAAAACCATAAATTGTATTCAAATTATTAAATAATCAAAAATCAGTTTTAAACTTGGAATAGTTTCTGTTTCTCATTGATTTTTGTTCAAACAAGTGAGTTTTGTGATTTCTATTTTAAATGATAAAAATAAATGAACAAAAATATTATTGAATAACATCGAATTTATTTTTACATTCTTACACAGTATTTAAAAGAGTTGTAAACAACTATCAATCAACACTCAAGAGACAATGAAACAAACTAAGTTACTTGTTATGGGACATGCAGGTTCATGGTAAAAGTTCACTTGGTAATTTTATTCTTAAAAAGAATGTGTTTAGTGTTAGTGTTAATCCTAATTCTGAAACCAATGAAACAAAAGGATATTCCGGAACAGGTGATAGAAGTGATATATTTGTTATTGATACACCTGGTTTTAACGATTCTAAAGGTCCAGAAAGTCAAAGAGAATATATGAATCAAATGGTAGATTATATTAAAAAAGAAGGAGAAGGACTCCGAGCCATTGTTGTTGTATTAAATTTTAATGAAGTTAGACTTTCAGAAAATATTAAAATAATGATTAGAATAATAGCTAATGCCTTTCCAATTGCTGGCTTTTGGAAACATGTTTGTATAGTATGGACATTTTGTGATTGTTATAAACCTCAAGTGTGTTAGATGAACTTATTAAGACTAAAAGATCAGATTATAATAAAGAACTGATGGATTTTATTAACCAAACAACAGGAAGTGAACGCATCATTTTCCCAATGTTTTTTGTAAACTCAAAACCACTTGCAGGATATGATAACTCTAGATCAGAGAATGAAATTGAATCTCTTTTAAAATGGGCAAGAAAGTTATCATTTATTGATGTTGATAAAGTTGTAAAGAGGGACATTTTCTATGAATCTGTTATTCTAGAAGAGAAAGATGAAGAAATAATCATAAATAAAACAAAAAGTAGTTTAACAATTCAAATCAACCACTTGACTAGGGAGAGAAGAATTCCTTATTATGAGCGTAAACCTGTTTACTCAGATTGGGAAGTTGGTAGTTCTAAGACTAAAACCAAAGAGTTTCATAAAGAATATGTCCCACAATATATTTACAGAGATCCACCAAAAGAGAAAAAAGATGAAGAAGGTATCGACCTTGACGAAACAATGCCAAATTTGCTTGCTGCAGGTGTTATTGTGGGTACTGTCATTGCAAGTGTAATTGATAGTCGAAGAAAAAAATAGTCAAACTAAAAAGGGTTATTTTCTTAACTTTTTAAGAAAAAGAATAAATTTTAATTCAATACTTTAAAACATACTTTTTGTTTTACCAACCAAGTACTGAAGGAAATAAAGATAACCAAAAAAGAATTCCAAAAAGGTTAAAGAGAAAATAATGATTTTGTTTAATTAGTTTGATTGATATATATTTGTTTGTTTAAAAATCTATTTGTTGAAATTTGCTTCATTTATTCTCGCATTTTTACACGTTTCTTTTTTAAATATCTCTTGCTTTTTATATTCTACTTAATTCATCACTGAGAATCGAATGTTACATATCAGAAACACAGCAAAGAAACCCTAAATGAGGTACATGCTTCAATTCAATAATTATTGTCTTGTCATGACGTTGACTTTATTAAAAAACGATAACACCACTATCCAACACTGCAACGTTTCGACTACTTTTATTGTCTATTAGATGTTATTTGCTATTTGGAGGGAAAAAAAGAAGAGTTACAGGAGACACCACAAAAATTATAAAACAATCAATAACAAAAGAAGGAGAAATCAATATCATCCATGAAATATAAATGATAGAAGAATGAGTGAAACCACGTATTATCTGTATGGACAGAAATACATTAATCATCACATTAATCATTACCATATTAATAACTATCACCATAACAAATACCATAATAATTATAATAATAATGGTATGAATCGTTTCATTCATCACTTCATTCATTTTCATCATCATAAGTATTTTATCAATAATTCAAATAGAATCATTATAATACAAATAAATCATACAATAAAACACAAATATGACACAAACAATACCATAATAAAAAACAACAACAAATAAGAAATAAAAGAAATGATAGAAATATAAAACCAGAATATTTGAAAAGACTAATTGAAGAAGAAATTAAAATATTTACACCACAAGAAATAGAATAAATTAAGAACACTAAGATTAAAGAATATAATCAACAATAATGAGAAAATGGTATTTACTTGCAAGAGAACAAACAAAAATGAATAGAATGGAGAAACGATCAGTATGACACTTGAAGATGATGACAAACAACTTAATCAAATTGAAATAAATGATAAATACTTAAATAAGAAATATACAATAATGAAAATGATGATGAAAATGAAATTACTGAAGAGAAAAAGAGACATAATGAAAAAGAAAATATGAAATTAAAAGAAGAAGAAGAAGAAAAGAACAATGAAAAAGATAAAAGAATAGAAGAATTAAAGAAAAGAATAGAGGAGGCTATTAAAGAGAAAGAAGAAATGAAGAAATACAAAAGAAGGACCAGACCATTAATAAATTATCAAACGACATTATTTCATTAAAGAAGAAGCATGAGAAGGAGATAAACACTAAAAAACAAGAAATTGATAGAAAATTATTCGAATTCAATGCTGAATCAGAAATGAAAAGGTCTGAGGTAAACAATTTATCACAACAAACATATTTCATGAAAGATAAATTATTTAAATTACAAAATAAAATTACACAAGAAGAAAAGAAGAAAGATGAGATAAATCACACTATATCTGACTCATCTGAAACACAAATTGTGAATGACATCAACCCAATGTTGTAGTAACTGATGAAATATCATCAAGCGAAGATGATCTTCCAAAAAAAAAGAAAGTTAATCAGAATTCAATCGAAGAGATATGAAATCAACATAAGAAAATCACCACATCTGATCATGACAATCAAAAAATAATTGAATCAAACAAATAGAGAAGAATAAATTCTAACATTCTATAAATGTTTTGCACTGAAGTTATTAGAAAGAAAATTAAGAAATCAACTTAAAGAAGAAGAAATAAAAAGATTAATACATGAAATTGAAATTAAAATAGAAGATATTAATGAATATAAAGAAATAATAAAGAAAACATATAAAATAAAGAATGAAATTAAAATTGAAATCAATAAAAGAAATGAAGAAGAATTAATAACACACAAATTGAAAGATATTGAATTAAAAAAATTAATAAAATAAATAAGAAAGAAGAAATATAAGAAGAGGAGGTAATAAGAATAAATAAAGAAGAATATATGAAAGAACAAGAAGAAGTATAATTTATTAATTATCATTACAATAAAAACAAAATACATCAAATAATTAATATCATTAATACAAATGAAATAGTAATCAATACATTAGATGATTACTACCATTATATTAAAACTATAACCTCCACTATTAACATCATTATTCATAATAATCAAGAAAGAAGTTGAAAGAGAAATATAGAAATAATATTACAATCAAAAATATGTAGATTAAGAGACTTGCTCCATAATAATCAATATATGAAATTAAAAAGAATATTACATATTAAAAAATATGATATATATCATATTAAAATAAAAACAAATGATCAAATAAACTATTACAAATACATCAAAAGAATGAAAAGAATAGAAATAGAAGTAAGAATAATTGGAAAAGAATAAGATGGAATTATAAAATGTTAAAATATGGAAAGAGACAACTTCTAAATAAATATAAAGAAGATGAATATCAAAATAATATTAATACAATTATTTCTAGAAAGGAATCTATGAAAATAACACCAATATAGATTTCCTAAATATTAATTTATATGACATATTAATTGAAAATAGAATTAATAATAAAAGTGTGTAATCACTTTAGATGAATTAAATCATGCAATAAAATTCATTGATAATTGGAAAGCACATGGAATTGATAAAATATAATGCTATTAAATATTTAAAATAACTAAACAATTTCTTATTAAAATTATTTAATGAATTGTTGTATAATCATAATGATATCTATCTTCAATTTATCCAAGGAAGGACAATATTAATATATAAGAAATGAGATAAATTATATAAACTAAATTACAGACAAATAACTTGTTTAAACTGTCTGTTAAAAGTATATACATCTTTATTAAAGATGAAGATAGAAAGCCAACTGATATTAAATCAAATTGAAAAACAATTATCACAAAATCAAATTTGATATAAAAATATACATATGTATCAAAAGAAGGATTATTATACAATACCATAATCAATCAGTTATTAATCAAGGCTAAATGGAAGTGGGTAGAAACATATTATGATGTCTCTAAAGCATATGATAGTATTAATCATCAATTTGTTAAACAATGTTTAATTTATTTTAACATCACATTAGTTGTAATTAAAAGTATATTATATATATTAAATATTACACAACTCCAATTATATTATAATCAACAAAATGTATGTATAATTAATGTAGAAAGAGGAATAATACAAGGTGATAATTTATCTTAATATTATTATGTATTATCTATTGATATATTATCTAATTAATTAGATAAACAAATTAATAAGTTATCTATTAAAATGAATTGAGAAGAAAAACAAGTAAAGTTAAACCACATATTATATATTGATGATTTAAAGATAATAACTAACAGCCTCGAAGAAATGGAAAAAGCCCACAAATTAACAAAAGAAATATTTAATGCAATAGGACTAAAAATAAATGTAGAAAAGAGTGGGATAATGAATAATATCAATAGTCAGATAAATGGAGAATTAGCTGAATTACAAAGAGTAACTAATGATAATCATTATAAATATCTTGGTATTGAAATAAGAGATAAAATAAATATTAATAAATATTGTACAAGAATATTAAATGATGTAACTTCTATTTTATCATCATTAAATAATATGAAATATAGCAGCATCAATACAATTAGAAAGATTAATAATGATATAATCTCAAAATTAAGATATTGATTCTGTATTATCAAATGGAAACTTGGTGAGTTAGAGAATATAGATAAACAAATAAGAAAATCATTGATACAACTCAAACTATACAGTAGAAACATCAATAAAAGTAGATTATATGTTACAATAAATGAATTAGGAATGGGATTAATGTCAGCACGAGATGAATGTGGTAATGAAATATTAACAATATATTTAAAATATAAATGGAGATCAAATACAGAAATATTAGAAATGATAGAGGCAGTAAAAGAGAATCCAAATGGAATAATTAAAAGAATGAAGAGGGCATTTGGTAAGAAAATTAATTTCAATGAATTAATGAATATAATACAAATAAATGAAATAAAATATGATGTAAACAATGTATTTGAATTTGTAACAAATAAAATAAATGAAAGATATTTAAATGAATTGAAAGAAATGAAGTGAATATATAAGAAAAGTAAATTGTATATTTAATAATAAGAAATTAACAGTAACCACATGGATGTCATTAAATATAAAAAGAAATATATTCCTCAAAGTAGTAAAGATGTAAGAAGGAGTAACTATGACAAGAAATATTAAATCTAAAATACTCAATTGTGATACTTTAAAATATTGTAAAGATTGTCCTATCACAATTCCATCTATTAGCCACATTTTGCTAGGATGTTGTAATGAAGAAGAATCAAATATCAAAACACGATTATGTATGTAAACAAATATATAAACATATATTATTTACCCATTTTAATGAATTTGATGAAATAGATTTTAATGCCCCTCCTAAGTGTATTAATAATAATGAAATTGTTATAACTTACAATAAAGATTTATTTGTTAATGACAATTCTTTTAATGTTAGAATACCAGATATATATTATCAAAATATCAAAGATAAAAAAAAGGATATATTAATGATGTTGATATATGTCAAGATAGAAACATCGAATTAAATTATATTTACAAAATAAATAAATACAAAGAATTACAAGAGAAACTAAGATAAAGTAGAGAAATAATTTATGTAGAAATAATACCTGTAATATTAACAATCAATTGATACATAATGAATCAGTAAGAAGATTAAAAACACTAAAATTACAAATCAACTTCCACAAAATACTACGAATAATCATTATAAAAAACATGAAATACTTAATGTTCTACATATTCATGACAACATTAGAAGATGAACCTTCTAATTCTCATATGTTAGAAATGAATTCTATTATAGAAATAGAGCATATTGAAATCAATAATCATAAAATCAAATTGTGGATATGTCTATTATTTATGTTATTTTAATTTATTATTATTGTAGTTTGATTTCATTTCTTTGTTTTTGTTTTTGATTCATTTTTCATTTATTTTAATATCTTCATCTTTTATTTTGTTTTCTAATTGTTTTCTTCTTTGTTTTTCTTTATTATTTTATTATTGAATATACTTCTTGGAGAATATTATATATTTTCTTTACCTTATTTTTTATGTATTTCTGTTTATTTTCATTTCTCATTTTACTTCTTATTATTTTATTTTTTATTTCAATTTTATTTATTGTTAATGATTTAGATTTCTTATTTGTATAATGTTTATTATCATTATATTTGCCTTGTTTCTTATTTGTTTTTATTTGTATTCTTCTTTTTCTATTCACTTTTCTCTGTTATTTCTTTTACCATAGTTATTATACATTTTATTGTTATTTCATTCATTCTTTTCTTTGAACTTGAATACCTGTTTGTTGTTTTCTTTTCTTTACAAGACTCTATTACATTACTCAATAAGCATAGCAACAAAAATATGATGTATATTCTGCATTGATAAAAAGATATGAAAATAAGAAAATTAATAAATAATAAGAATAAGAAATAAAGAAACATAATAATAAGATAATAAATAATAAAATAACAATAATGATGTATTCAAATTATTCTTTATTTTAAACATTCAACAATGGTTTATTCTCATTGACAATTCAATAATCAACATTATTTTCATCTATTTATTATTTCATATTCAAATCTTTTATTTTGAACTTAAAAATAATTATAGATTTTACTTTAAACAATAATGCAATTAGAATTCATTTTTTCAAGTTTCTTTTCAAATAATTTTAATTGACGAATAAATCCTGCTTCAATATCAATTAATGGATATAATCCTTGAACTTTATTAAATGCATTTATAAAAGATAAACGTTGATAATACATTAAAAAGGCAATAACAATTGCAGGTGCTTTATTAATTCCTGTTCCACAAATAATTAAAACACCTTCTTTTCTTTGAACTGAGCGAATAATAAATTTGATGGCATTTGGTATTGAGTCATATAATTGATTTCCTTCTTCTGAAACAATGTTTAATCTTAAAATATCACATTGGTCTTGAAATAAAGAAGGAACTTCAATTCCAACTAATAAAATTGATGAAATATTATAAGTATGAATATAATCTACATTATGTGCATTTAAAAATGATCCTAAATGAATATATTGAATAATTGGTGTTGGACTTAATGTAGGAAATGTTAAAACTTGATATGGAGGAGTAATATGAATTGTTTCTAAATAATAGTTTCCACCAATTTTTAAAAGTTCAAGAGAAGGATGAAATACAGGAAAACATTCTAATAAATTCATTCTAAACTATTAAAATTTTGTTTTAATTTAAATATTAAAGATATTTTTTAAAAATTAAAACAAACGAAATATCAATTGTTTTAAGATATTGCAATGTTGTATAAATTGGTGGCAATACTAGTAAATCATTTGATGAAAGATTTAATGAAGTTAAATTAGATAAAAGAGTTAAGTCAATAGGAAATTTATTTAGTCCACAAGACTGTAATGATAATTCTTTTAATGATAATGGTAATTTTGAAAGAAATATTTCTGAATTACAATTATTTAAATATAAAGTATTTAATGAGATACATTTTGTTATATCTAATGTGTATGGATTATGAATATC